TCCTCTGCTTCAGGAGAGGATGAAGGCAGGGTAAAGATGTCAGGTTGCCATGCAGATTTACTGCAATTAAAGTCCCTAAAGTAGTCTGGGTGTGGTGGCTCACACCTGTAATCCCAGCCCTTTGGCAGGTTGAGGTGGGAAGCCTGCTTGAGGTCAAGAGTTTGAGACCAGCCTGGGCAACACAGCGAGGCCCTGTCCCTACCAAGCCAGGCATGGTGGTGCATGCCTGTGGTCCCAGCTATGGGAGGTTGAGATGCAAGGATCACTTGAGCCTGGGAGTTCAAGGCTGTAGTGAGCCATGACTGTGCCACTGCACTCCAGCCTGGGTGACAGTGTGAGACCCTGTCTCTAAACAATAAATAAATAGGTAAATAAATAAAATTCAGTTTTAAGAACTTGATAACCTGTCATTACAATGGAAAGGAGAAGTGGGCAAGGGTAACAAGGGGCATCTACAGGGAGGGTTTCTGCAAGTGAATGAAGGATAATGATACATTTCTCCTACTAGAGTAAAAACACTTATTTTTCCACTATAAATGCAACAAATGCTATCGAAAGAAAGTTGAAAAAATGAAAAAACTAAAAGAATATTGAAAAATCCAGTGTTCTGGCTGGACACAGTGGCTCATGCCTGTAATCCCAGCACTTTGGGAGGCCGAGGTGAATGGATTCCTTGAGCCCAAGGAGTTTGAGACCAGCCTGAGCAACATGGCAAAACCCTGTCTTTACAAAAACTACAAAAATATTAGCTGGGCTTGGTGGTGTGCACCTGTGGTCCCAGCCATTCAGGAGGCTGAGGTGGGAGAATTGCTTCAGCCCAGGAGGTCAAGGCTGCTGTGAGCTGTGATCACACCACTGTACTCCAGAATGGGTGACAGAGGGAGACCCTGTCTAAAAAAGAAAGAAAAAAAAAGTCCAGTGTCTCATTACCCAAACACATCCCTAATATCATTTTGGCAGATTTCCTTCAAGCCCTGTAGTAACAGTTCTGTGTCATTCAAACTTCGTGTTCCTTTACAAAATGGCTGCATAAGATCCTGGCGTAAAGATTCACCACAATTTACTTAACTAGTCCTCTAGATTTGGACTTTCAGGTTGTCTCTAATTTTTCATGTTTACAAAGAACAACTCTGTGCACTTAACTTGCTTCTTTCTGTGAATTCATATTTAGAATCGCTGCCTTAGGACATTTTCTCAGAAGTGGAATTACTGAGTCAGCTACTCTGAATGAATATTAATTCCTTTAATTCATTCAGCTTTTACTGGGTGTTCACTGAATGTTTACATAGTGCCTGGCACTGTGCTCAGATAAAGAAGAAAAGATGAAAAACGCAGTCTTGATCTCTGTCTTCAAGAAGTTCACAGCCAGGAGGAGAGCATGATGCCAAACTTCTCCTTCCATAGGTGACTACACCCTACAGTATATAGTCCACATTTTACCACATCAACACTATTAGTATTCAAACAAATAGATCACACAAAAATTGGGCTTAATTAGTAGGCAGGCCAGGCGTGATGGCTCACGCTTGTAATGCCTCTAGCACTTTGGGAGGCAGAGGTGAGTGGATTACATGAGGCCACGAGTTCGAGACCAGCCTGGCCAACACGGTGAAACCCTGTCTTTACTAAAAATACAAAAACTAGCTGGGCATGGTGGCAGGCGCCTGTAATCCCAGCTACTTGGGAGGCTGAGGCACGAGAATTGCTTGAACTCGGGAGGTGGAGGTTGCAGTGAGCCGAGATCGCGCCACTGTACTCCAGCCTGGGCAAGAGAGTGAGAGCTGTCTCAAAAAATAAAAGTAAAAAAAAAGAAGTAGGTAAAAAATGTAACCTTGTTTTAATTTGAGTTAATGTTTACTGATTAACTGTACCTCCCCTTTTACAAATCACTTCACATTTTTGCTCATACGTTACTGAGATGTTGGTATATTTTTCGTTGATTTGTATGCTTCCTTTACAGAGCAAAGACACGAGCCTGCCATCAGTATGCACTGCTACACCTCCTAGTTTACAATTTAATCTATTTTTTCCACACTTAAAATGACTTCCTCTCATACTCTGGAATTATGCCATTTGGCCTATATTGAGAGATGTAATAAGAAACTACTCAATGAAACCTGTTGCTTTATTTACTGAAAGGATTTTTCTTTTTTTTTTTTTTTTTGAAGACAATGTTGATTATATCAGTTTTCTCTTTAGGAGAACCCACAAAAGAAATTTCTTTCTGATATTAGTATCAAGGTCAGGCACAGTGGTTCATACCTATAATCCCAACACTTTGGGAGGCCAAGGTGGGTGGATCAGTTGAGCCCAGGAGTTTGAGACCAGCCTGGCCAAAATGGTGAGACCCCGTCTCTACTAAAAATACAAAAATTAGCTGAGCGTGGTGGCGCATGCCTATAATCCCAGTTACTCAGTAGGCTGAGGCACGAGAATCGCTTGAACCCACGAGGTGGAGGTTGCAGTGAGCCGAGATCGCACCACTGCCCTCCAGCCTGGATGACAGAGCCAGACTGTCTGGGGAAAAAAAAAAAAAAAAAGAGGTCAGAAGTTCAAAAGTGATATGGGCTTGAATTAGTTAATAGATTTTTTTTTTTTTTAAAGATTTCTAATTTCATTATATTTCTTTCTTTTCTTTTCTTTCTTTTTCGAGACGGAGTTTCACTCTTGTTGCCCAGGCTGGAAGACAGTGGCGTGATCTCGGCTCACTGCAACCTCCGTCTCCTGGGTTCAAGCAATTCTCCTGCCACGGCCTCCCAAGTAGCTGGGATTACAGGCATGCACCACCACACCCAGCTAGTTTTGTATTTTTAATACAGATGGGGTTGATCAGACTGGTCTCCAACTCCCGACCTCAGGCGATCCACACACCTTGGCCTCCCAAAGTGCTGGGATTACAGGCATGAGCCACCGTGCCTGGCCTTAGTTATATTTTCTAACAAAAAAAATAAGGTTTCTAACTTCATTTTCTTTTCTTTTTTTTTTGAGACAGAGTCTTGCTCTGTTACCCAGGCTGGAATGCAGTGGTACCATCTCAGCTTACTACAACCTCCATTTCCCAGGTTCAATCAATTCTCCTGCCTCAGCCTCCCGAGTAGTGGGGATTACAGGCACTCGATACCACAGCCGGCTAATTTTTTTTTTGTATTTTTAGTAGAGATAGTGATTCAGCATATTGGCCAGGCTGGCCTCGAACTCCTGGCCTCAATTGATCTGCCTGCCTTGGCCTCTCAAAGTGCTGGGATTCAGGCATGAGCCACCATGCCCGGCCTAATTTCATCATATTTTCTAACTACTATTAATATGTAGGATTGTTACGAATTTTTGCCACATGCAATACATTTATACTCTTGAATTTAGATTAAAAAATGTATTTTTTTATCTATCTATCGATCGACTGACCAGGTTATGAGATTGGTTAATTTTTGTATTTTTGGTAGAGACGGAGTTTTACCATGTTGCCCAGGCTGGTCTCAAACTCCTGGGCTCAAGTGATCCGCCCACCTCAGCCTCCCCAAAGCACTGGGATGACAGGGGTGAGCCACTGCACCTGGCTGCTTGAATTTAGATTTTTAAAAGAATTTCATTATCACCAACTAAACATAATTTTATCTCTTTTTTCAATATTAATACTTCATTTCTTACTTCACTTGCCAGAACAGTTTTTTAAAAAAAATTATCTACCTATGGTTTTAGGTTAGAAAATGAGAACTGATTCAAGGGAACAAGAAAAAGTTTTGGAAATTATTTAAACTCTTAAAGACTTTAATATTACAAACCAGAAGCAACATGACAATGGTGAGAGGATGTGCTGCTGAAGACACATTGTTGGGGTAGCTGGGTATCCACCTGGCTATCAGTTCAGAAAATTAGAACTGCTTCCTCCCACACAACTGCAATCCTATTCAGATGGGTCACAGTGTTCCATGTTAAAAAAAAAATTGGAATAGCATATTTATTCCAGCTGTGGAAGCAAGATAAACTTCTGACTATTGTGAAATAAAGGATATCATCAGAGACAAACTGAATAGGTATGAATATATAAAAATAAAATAGTTTCGCCCAATGAAATGTAAAAAAGGGACAGTAATAGAGGAGGAAAAAAAGCTGATAAAAGTTTACAAGCTTATATATATGTATATAAATCTATTACAAATATGAAATATATAAGGTCAATAACCATATTCCAAGGAATAAATGGTCAAATGGTCAAAAGAGTCCAATCCATTTATACACAAAGGAAACAGAAATAGTAAACTGTCATTTGGAACACAGCAAAGCCTCTCATGAAATTAAAACAAAATGCAAAAAACACCTTAGGGAATAACTGCATGCTTGTTAAATTAGGAAACTGATAGGACATAATGTAGAGAAATGTATCCATGTACTTAAATATATCTGGTAGCACTGCAACCAATACAAGCTCTTGGAAAGCCTTCTAATAAATGTAACAACAGCTACATATGTATGCATGCACCTGTGCAGACACACACACTGACCTCTTACTCCACTTAGAGGCACTACATCCCCACAAAGGAACAGTGATTTGTTATTTAGAGAACTACTCATAACGGGAAAAAATGAAAATAACCCAAGAACCTAAAAAAAGAAGGGCTAAACAAACTACAGGATGGCAACATGAGGTATCATATAGCTTTTTGAAAGGACACATATGGGGACACAAATAACTAGAAGTGCAAAGGGAGTATCTCAAACCAATGCTTTGCAAAACTTCCATGTATTATGTGAATTAAGAAGGTTAGCCAGAGTGAATGTTTTCCTATACTCTTTTTTTCCTTAGGTTCCCTGGGCCTTGGAGAGATCAGAAGCCCACCTGGTGCTGTTCAGCTGACCACACACCGGTGATCTCCCTCCTTTAATACAACATGCTCCAGTTGGCACCTTCAGCCTCCAGTAAGTACCATCATAGGAATACACTCTGCTTTACAGCTTAGGTTTCTGGAAAGGAAAGCAACTGCTGAGTTGTTTCATGGACTTACTGTGAGTGTGGCGAGTGACATGAAGCCGATTAGGTTATTCCATACTTTATCGATGTCCTTCAGCAACTGCTGGAGTTTCTCACTGCACACTGCAGTGGCTTTGATCCCCAGCTCCACACGCTTGGTTACCCTGTACACTTCAACAACACCTGACGGGATGAGAGAGCAGAGAGAGAGTGTTGACAGTGGAGACACAGAGGAATCAGACAGGGGAGCATCATTGCTTGCTGATATCTATTAGAAACAAGGGTACATCTGGACAGAGGTGTACGTACTATTCTCCGGGACCAATCCACTTCTCAGTGCTGCTGTATAGCTCACTGGTAAGAGCATAGACTCTAAAGCTGCACTGCTTGGGTTCAAACTCCAGCTATGCCTCTTACTGGCTACATGACCTTAGGCAAGTCACATAACCTCTCTGTAACTCCATTTCCTCATCTGTGAAGTTGGGACGGTAACAGTACCTCCTCCAAGGATGGTTGAGAGGATTAAACAGGTTAACATGGTAAAAGGCTTACAACAGTGCTTGGAGAATGGCAGGCAATATGCAAGTTATTAGGTTTTGTTTTTTGGGAGGTTTATTTATGAGTCCATCTGCTTGAATCTGGGAAATCCCAATAAACTAGCTGAAAATGGGGATAGTAAAAATTTAAAAGAATCTCAATGTTAATAGCATCACAAAGTAATTAAGAAATATCTCACCCCTCTGAATCTGAAGGTCTTACAAACACTTTGACTTCACTTATCTTTATACATGCAACAGGATGCAGACCGGTTCTTTTCCTGTGGTCTCTAAATTGTGGTTGAACTCTTCAAGCAAGGATGAGAGGTGATAAGTACCTCACACTCTAAGGACAGCCACCAGATACATCCCTAACCCCTGCAATGTGACAGTCACCAAAGACATGACTCCGACCTCTCTAAGTGAACACAGAGGGATTCAGGGGATCTTCAGAGTGGTGCCTCAGCAGCCCTGTGTACAGCACTATGGCCTTTCTTCTTCCTTCCCCAAGGGAGGGGCAGAAATTACTGCCCACCCTAAGCCAAGTGAAGGCGCTTCTAAGAGAATCTTCCATAGATACAAGGATACGAGGAGAAAAGACAGGTGCCCCATTTCCTGGTGGACATCTGCTTATGCAGAACCGTGCCTGTTTGAGCAGGAAAAGAAGACCCCGAGTGAGGTGGCAGGAGTAAGGCAGAGGCTACATCCCCTCACTCTCCACTCATCCAGCAAATATTTTTGAGTGCCAACTATGTGCAAGACACTAGATTAGGTGTTGGGGACACACCAGTGAACAAAACAGACCAAAATCCTAGCCTTCGTGGAGGTTCATTCTAGTGGAGGGAGACAGAGCATAAAAACAACAAGTAACTAGGCGCAGTGGCTCACGCCTGTGATCCCAGCACTTGGGAGGCCAAGGTGGGTGGGTTGCTTGAGCTCAGGAGTTCGAGACCAGCCTGGGCAACATGGCGAAAACCCGTCTCTACAAAAACTACAAAAATTAGCTGGGCACATGGTGGTGCGCGCCTGTGGTTCCAGCTACTTGGGAGGCTGAGGTGGGAGGATTGCTTGAGCCTGGGAGGTGGACGCTGCAGTGAGTCATGATCACATCACTGTACTCCAGCCTGGGTGACAGAGTGTGATCCTGTCTTAAGAAAAGAGCAATAAGTAACATATGTAAGAAATTAAAGGTAATAAAGCAAGGGAGAAAATCCAGCAGAGAATGGGATGGGAAGTGCCGGGGTGGGGAGAGAGGATACTCTTCGGAGAGATGGATGCTAGGAAAGATTTCACTCAGAAGCTGACATGTGAGTAAAGATTTGAAAAAGATTAGGGTCCAGTGTGTGTGGCTCCGGCCACGGGCCAAGCCTGAGCCTGGGGAAGGGAGGAATACCGAAGCGGATAGAGGCTGCGCTTTCACGTTGGACTGACATATCTAATTGCTGCAGATGACCAGGAGGTTAAGGAGTCTGTGGTGTCATTAAGCGGTCGAGAGAAAGAATATAGAGTATGGTAAGGAACTGATGGGAGACAAGATGATTTTATTTCAGTGCATCAGTAGCTCTGATAAACCAGTAACAGAGACATAATTTTACATTTTTGCTATTATGTATATAACAAGGACGAGGAAACTTAGCCATAGAGACTTTTTAAGTTCAATAGTTTACTGCCTGTAACTTAAGTGTCTTACCCACAAATGCAGATGCTTCTTAGTGAAGTCATATGTAACTTGAGAGATCTAGCTTAAAATAATTCAAGGGAAAAGTGAAAATAATGCAAAGTGCCATCATTTTCAATAGTAAAATATAAAAGAACATACCTAATAAATATTCCATGCCTTGAGCTGACTGAATTACTTCTGTGCAAACAGAACTACTACTGATTCCATTTAAGGTATCATTTGCCTTCTTAATGACCTACAAGAAATGAAATCACATCACCTTACATAACTGACAAAAGTCATCGCAAATCAATTTACTGTTAGTAGAAAACCCAACCGAAAAGCCACGAGGTGTCAAAAAATCTCATTTTATCCTTGAAGAAACAATCCTCCATTTATTTGGAAGAAAAAAGACAGTTTTTTTTTTTTTTTTTTTGAGACGGAGTCTCGTTCTGTAGCACAGGCTGGAGTGTAGTGGTGTAGTCTCAGCTCACCACAACCCCCAACTCCCGGGTTCAAGTGATTCTCCTGCCTCAGTCTCCTGAGTAGCTGCGACTACAGGCGTGCGCCACCACGCCTGGCTAATTTTTGTATTTTTAGTAGAGACGGGGTTTCAACATGTTGATCAGGCTGGTCTTGAACTCCTGACCTCGTGATCTGCCCGCCTCAGGCTCCCAAAGTACTGGAATTATAGGTGTTGAGCCACCGCACCCGGCCAAGACAGGTTCTTTAGTTTAAATATTATTTTGATTTAGTCAGAGTTAATGAAATCACTTTGGTATTTCTTAAACACAATGACAGATGAGGAGACGACTGACACATGAGCCAGTCTGCTATTGTAAGTGTGAAAGAAGCCTCACCTACGATGTATGACTTCCACAGAGTTTCACTTTGCCCAGGGACATCCACGTAAGGCTCTCCTGAAGTTTGCCTCTGTCCATTCAAATGAACCAAGAAGGCAAAAAGGCACAAGAGAACACTTATATACGTGTGAACGCGAAAATGACATACTCACATTCAGGGCACTCCCCAGGCATCTCTGCCATTCATATGCATATCTCTCATTTTCCTGTGAATTTGATAAAAAGAACTGGGTTAAGCCTTGAGCGCAAACCTGGAATCTTCTACTGATGACTCTGTCAATTCAAAGGGCTTGAGCTTGGAAGACTTTCCTTTTTATTACAATCACTCTAGTTCAAGCAGTTTTTTTTTCCTTTTTTTTTTGAGACAGGGTCTTGCTCTGTTGCCCAGGTTGAAGTGCAGTGGCGTGATTTCTGCTCACTACAGCCTCAACCTCCTGGATGCAAGCAATCCTCCCACCTCAGCCTCCAGAGTAGCTGGGACTACAGGTGCGCACCACCATAAGCGGCTAATTTTTGTATTTTTGGTAGAGGTGGGGTTTCACCATGTTGCTCAGGCTGGTCTCAAACTCCTGAGCTCAAGTGATCTGCCCAACTTGGCCTTCCAAAGTGCTGAGATGACAGGGATGAGCCACCACGCCCGGCCGCAGTTTATCTTTTGAACTCACTAATAACTATGTTAAATTACTAATAAATGTAACTTCTGAGCACAGGATCTGTGAGTCTAAGGGACATGCTTTCCAGCGGCTTCCCCCTGTGAGTGTTGCCTCATTTGTTCCATCAGTAACAGTGTAAGCCTTTCTTCCAAGGCACTCAGCATGTAGCTATCTGGTACAGAAACTGCTATTAGGCTGCTGGCTTTCCACTCCCTGGTTATAACGCTGTGGGTGAGGACATGGCCCACGTGCACGTGTAACAAGGAGTAGGGAAAGGCAGGAAGTTAAGTGTGTTGGCCATAGGAGGAACATACCGTGGTATAGGTGTGCACCACCATGTCCGGCTAATGTACTAAGATGCAGCAGACAAAAATAAAAAATTCAGAATATTTTCCCTGTCTCCTCTATTTTGAGGTTTCATGAAGACAATAAAGTCTAAGTGCTCAAGAAGAATTCTACAAACTCTGCCATCCTTGTGAAGTCCCACGAATAGTTTTGGTTTTAGGGTCACTGACTACTTTCAGTGGGTGCCACACCTGGAAAATGTTTTCACCCAGGGCTAATGTTACCCTTCTCTCACTTTAATTACATAGTTTATGTCTGGTGCTTTGTGCCTTTCTGCTCCTCATTTTCCCCATGTGAAAGCTGAGAGCATTCTGTCTTGGGGTCCTGTGTGCTTGCTGGTCTGTCATCCACCCCCTATAGAAAGCTCTCCTCTCACCTCCACCTCTCCCGTCAGGTCTTTGTACTTGTCTCGGATGACGGGCAGCGCGGGCTTCTCATTCAGAGTATTGGAACGGTCTCTGAAAGGCTGCTCCAAAGCCGGAGAAGGGGAAGAGCGGCTTATTTCTTTATCACCGAGGCTCAAACTCCTCTTGTGTGATCCTGGGAGAAGGGGAGAATACAGTCAAAGGTTTTGGCCACCTACCTTAGTTCAAGCAGAGGCTCTTCCTCGCTACCACAACCCTCTTTTTTTTTTTTTTTTTTTAAGACAGAGTCTTGCTTTGTTGCTCAGACTGGAGTACAGTGGTGCGATCTCGGTTCACTGCAACCTCTGCCTCCTGGGTTCAAGCGATTCTCCTGCCTCAGCCTCCTGAGTAGCTGGGACTACAGGTGTGCACCACCGTGCCCGGCTAATGTTTGTATTTTTAGTAGAGATGCGGTTTCACCGTGTTGGCCAGGCTGGTCTCGAACTCCTGACCTCAAGTTAATTCGCCTGCCTCCGCCTCCCAAAGTGCTGAGATTACAGATGTGAGCCACCGCACCCAGCCCACAACCCTCTTCTTCAGATGCTTATGTCATGAGGCATTCACAAACACATTCCTCATTCATTCTTTCTGGGAAGCTGCATGTTGAATTCTTTCCACTGTTCTCTCTTGCTTGGTTTCCCTGCCTTTTATTTTCAACATGACTCTTCTCTGATCTATCACAAGTCTTCCATAATGCTCAGTGCAGAATCACTGGAGTCTGGAGAACAAAAGCACCTTTCTAAACACCCGTGTGTAAAGTTGTGCAGCTTTTCCAGTCATTTGTTATGGATTTGTAACCGAGTTCCTTCGCAGGCTCTCCATCCAGCTGAAATCAACAACCCCTTCAGTCAGGATGAGATTAAAGCAGAAGAGGCAAACTCAAATGCCTTCAGAGACCAGGCAAGGAAAGTGAATACCCTAAGTAGGTCTGCTGAGACAGGAAGCGGTGGGGATTATGGCAAGAGAGAGAGAATGACCTATCTACAGGGAGCGGTGCTTTTGGCTCCAGCTGCTTGTCAGCATATGGGAATGCAGACCTACTAGTGCCAGATATTATGACTTCTCAAGAAAAGGTGGAAATCCAGATTGGGAAATCTCATGTCTTTTAAATACTGGCAATTACTTCATACTTAAAAATCTCTTGTGTGGGTCAATGTGATATGCAGGCTGGATGCAGATCCACGGCCACCACATTGCAACCTTTGGATTCAAAGACATTATCTGTGCCCCGGGAACATGAGCGGAGCTAACGTGCCTTCAAGTGGCTCAAACCCATTTAACTGGCTCTTTTAACGCAGTGCACCTCTAACCAAACGAGCTAATGAACAATACCTGTATGCTATGCTTGTTTTTAGCCCATAAAACAGTTATCTGAGGGATACTGATTTTGACTCCAGTCTCAGGGAAATCTTTATTATAGCTATCTGTAATTGACCCGGATTTCAAAGATTAGAAAAATCTATTTCCTGCTAAACCAGGGAGCAACATTTTATTCTTAAGAACATCTAACATCTCAGTGGAAAAAAACCGCAATAGTAAAATCTACCTTGGAAGCTACTCACCTTGAACAGAAAGGTCAAAGGTTGCCAGCTCACTTTTGATCATTTCTTCACTGGATTTCATTTTGCTTTGTGAAGTGGCTACTAAGAAGTCAAATTTGCTGATTTTGGGCTTTTCACTTTGAAACTCTCCAAAGTCATCTGAACATTCGTTGGGGGTTTCTTGAGAGGCACCACTGGACGCTGGGCTGGGACAAGTGGCCTCTGGGCTCCGTTCAGCTGTAGGCAGGTCCTGTCTTGTGAAATCTTTATAGTCTCTGCTTTCATATTCCTTTTGCTCACTGGTCTGAGGAATCATGTCTTTAAAACTGGCAAACGCTGGGAAGGTGGTCCCTGGAAGAGCATCTTCACTTGCAAAGGTTGTTACTTTGGAGAGAGATGTCATGGTGATGTTTTCAGAACTGCCAAATGAAGTCTCTTTCTTTTGAAGAATTGAGGTGGCTGAGGGGGATCCACTTCCTGCTGAGAGGACAAATGGAGAGAGTTTTCTGCCCTGAGTTGCATCATCCCTGTCTGACCAGTCACAGCTTGTAAGTGTGCTCACTGCAAAATTGCTACTGTAGCTTCCAAAAGCAGCATATTTTAAGTCCTCTATATCTGAAAGGGAAATAAGACCCCGCAATTAGAGGCAAGCAATTTAGGCAAAATGCCCTAAACTCTGTAGAAGCAAAATGCCTAGCATATTTGATTAGTTTTATACTATGTTGAAATTAGCTAAATTTAGAGTTTGCACTAAAATTAAAAGAGTTGGGCTGTAAAATCTGATCTTAAAAAAACCCACATTAGCCTTGAGTTGGCATTTACATTTAGTTACCAAGAATCATTTTCTTTGGCTATAAAAATTACTAAAAAAAGATAGGAGGTTCATCTACCAATGTATATACTATTTGATATACGATTGGGGTCATTTAATAAATTGTTCCCATATAAACTTAAAAATGTACTGATATTCCTTGCCTAAAACATGTCTCCCTTCATCTTGACTTTGTTGGAAAATGTGCCTTTAAAACATGGTCATGTGAAATGTACATGGCAAAATAATTAAAAGTTGACAGTTTCTCAAAACTAAAATGAAAATAATGTCATCTAACTTTCAATCAATTATTAGAGTTTCTGTCATAATATTATCAATTATTAGGATTTCTGTCTCAGGCAATGCCAAATATGAGATTTTAATCAAGCAATTACTTACCTAGTTGTTATTTTGGTCAAATTGGACATCATATTGCTGTGATGAAGTATGAGGAAAGAAAAATCAATCTGATCTACTTTCGCCCTTAAAAAATGCAATAAAAAGATTTGGGTCCTGTTGGGCTCCACTTTTTCCTTCAACTATGTATCTACTCTCCATTTAAAAAAAAAGGAAAGGAGGAGAAAAAAAGAACTGCTGGGGCAGACGACTGATTTTACAAAGCATTCTTAATATACAGTTAAGTAATTTAAGAGGCAACATAAAACAGCAGAAAGAAAGTAGGTTTTTGATTTAGAAAGACCTGAGTCTTAGAAAGACCTCTGCTACCTACTATTTGTGTGGCACTAGGCAGATGATTGAACATTTCTGAACCTCAGTTTGCTTATCAGTAAAATGAGGAGAAGACCATGTACTTGGAAGGACTGTGTTACGGCCATCAACCGTGACCACGTGTGTAAAAGGCCAGATTGACGCCTGGTGAGCAATACATAATAGCTAGTGTCTGCTCTGCATAGGTGCCACCAGCCTCAACTTGACAGTTAATTGCTGCTTTAGAGCCTAGAGGGGAATTTCAAAGCAAAAATGAAAAGTCAACTCAGCATTTTAGCGGTATTACTAGGAGAAAAAGGTTCTTGCTCATTTTCAAAAAGCAAAACCAGCCGAGACTGAATTAGGCTGGTGTGGAGAAGTGGGTTGATATGCATTTAGTTTCACTGTAGTCACTGTACATGAGGCAAGAAGGCTAAATACAAGACTCTTCCTCTGACAACCACATATGTGATTTACAAGGAAACTGCTCAAAAGTTTTGTGACCTAGATTTTCAGAACTAAGTCAACAGGTGAACCACCATGGAGTCATTTTTCTCTTTCTTTCACAGCGATACTGCATAATTTATGAGGGGTAAGAGGCTCCTGACATTTCCATAGCTCTTCTAATGGTATAATCCAAATCTCTTTTTCTTTGAGCTGTTAGGAAAGGGGTACTAAGTTAATAATAAAAACAAAAAACACTAGCCATACAAAAAACCAACCAGCAAAAAGCAAACACTTTTCACAGAATGATGGCATATTTAAAAATTCTGTGGTGCAATCGTACCCTTCAAATGTGGTTTATAAAACAGAAGGAAAAAAAGATTCAGGTGAAAAGGTTTTTTTTTTTTTTTTAAATTTCTTTTTTGAGACAGAGTTTTACTCATCACCCAGCCTGGAGTGCGATGGCGCGATCTCGGCTCACTGCAACCTCCGCCTCCTGGGTTCAAGTGATTCTCCTGCCTCAGCCTCCGGAGTAGCTGGGATTACAGGTGCCCACCACCACGCCCGGCTAGTTTTTGTATTTTTAGTAGAGACGGGGTTTCACCATGTCAGTCAGGCTGGTCTTGAACTCCTGACCTCAGGTGATCCGCCCGTCTCGGCCTCCCAAAGTGCTGGGATTATAGGCATGAGCCATTGTGCCTGGCCTCAGGTGAAAAATCTAGAGTTTAGAATGAATGGAAAAGCCTTTAACCCAAAGCTTTCTTGGTCTTTTGCTGTAGTGTTCTTTTGTTTTTGTTTTTTTCCCCACTATTTAAAGGCACCAGAAGGTGTCCAGACTCAAATGAGGTGAAATTCAATCAGGGGGTGATGCAGTTAAATACAGGACTATTCTTGGAGGGGTACATTCAGAAGAATGTTTCATAATACAGATTATTTTTATTCTTAGGTCCTATGAAAGCATTTTGGGAAACTATATTAGGAACTGCTTCCAGAATCTTTCCTATTAAAAGGGTATCAGGCCGGGCATGGTGGCTCACACCTGTAATCCCAGTACTTTGGGAGGCCGGGGCGGGTGGATCACCTGAGGTTAGGAGTTTGAGACCAGCCTGACCAACATGGTGAAATCCCGTCTCTATTAAAAATACAAAAATTAGCCGGGCGTGGTGGCAGGCGCCTGTAATCCCAGCTACTTGGGAGGCTGAGGCAGAAGAATCGCTTGAACCCAGGAGGTGGAGGTTGCAGTGAGCCGAGATCGCGCCATTGCACTCCAGCCTGGGCAACAAGAGCGAAACTCCGTCTCAAAATAGTAGTAATAATAATAATAATTAGCTGGGCGTGGTGGCGTGTGCCTGTAATTCCAGCTACTTGGGAGGGTGAGGCAGGAGAATCGCTTCAATCAGGGAGTCGGAGATTGCTGTGAGTCAAGATGGCACCACTGCACTCCAGCCTGGCGACAGTTTGAGACTCTGTCTCAAAAAAAAAAGGAGACAGTTTTCCTAGAGGCAAATGATAAATTTAATGAAAAGATATCTCCAGTTCAAACACTGCAATCAAGATATTGCTATGGTAATAAAAAGATCTTTCTTTGCAATCACACAACAACAAAATGTCTTTTAAAAACCTAAAATGACTAATATAATCAGGTAAAAGGCATTACAGGCAACAAGGGATTGCCTTAGCTGAGGCATTTTTAAGCATTTTTAAAATTTCAGGAAATCTTATTTTTATTAAAAATGATAACGCCTGTAACAGCTTGCCTTTTGGAGCAACTCCCAGAAAAGACTAAATGAAAGACTAGAAAAGCAAATGAAAGACTTAAAAAGAAATATTTTATACTTAAAATGAAGAGTAAATACACAAGATTCACTAAAATCAAGCCTCAAAATTGAGTTTTAAATTTACTTTTGCTTATTTGTTGGCTACTATAGTGTGAAAAAGTAATTTCGTAAAGTGTAATTCATTTGAACACAAGTACTGACGGTACATAAGGAATGTGAGACAGAACACCATGCCCCTAAACTTAGCATTTATAAACAATATAAATACAGGGCAGTATGTTCTGGCATAGCAAATATTTGTAAACCATTTTCTAAGAAAAATGTGGTACATCAGTTCATTGAATGTAGCTTAAAGTAAGAAAATTTTCATTTCCCATGTTAATAGTTCTACATTTCTAAGCAGTCCAGTTATAGGTATTATTGTATAATGGTCTTAAAAATATTAAAGATTATATAACACCTACAACATAAGTGATAGAAGTCTTGTCTGAAAAAATGATGTGGAATAACCCACATTTTAGTTTGTAATCACTGAAGCTAGTATAGATGGATTTTCAATTTGATAGCTGAATTCTGAAAATTGCAAGAGAAAAAGGAAAAAGAAAATGGAGAAGGAATGCAATAAAATGAACAGAAAATCACTACTGTATTTCCAGTTCTGCTGCGGAACTCCTAGGCTGTGCTAGGTTGAACTGCATTTGCACACAGATAATATGCCAAATTGTGTGTTTTAATGCATACATCTGTTTGCAGCCAGGAATGTCCTATTACAAAGGCCAAAGGAATAAACGTATACGATCTGTTTTCCATCACGGATCTCAGATCAAAACGTGTACTTCTTGCTTATGCTGGCAAGTAACCCTATTAGTCTCTTCCATAACCTCTATTCAAATCTCTTTTGAGTGGATGTTGTACATGAAAACAAGGTATTTTTTCGAACAAAGAATGTCGGCTACTACTACAGGACACAGACAGCCAAGCTCATTCCCAAGGACATTTACTAAAGCTGTCAGTATATGCCCAGGTGATGAAGAGTTACTGGCTTTTGAAGGAGTTGAGAGAAAGAGGAAAGGAGATATACGTGCAAATTCCACTATTCTCATTTTATATAGCAATAAAAATGTTCATTGGACTAAGAAAGAAACATATTTTCATTTACAGTACTGATTTAATCTAAACTTCATTTACCAAAGCAAACCGTAAAATACTTGTACATTTCAGTTTCTCTCTACTCTGGGCCCTAATCTCCTTTAGGCCCTATTCTGTCTTTGATCTACCTATGAGATCAGTTGTATTCATATTCTCTGTTAACTAAAACACCTGGTCTGTGTCCTGTACGTCTCAAACACTGAAGAAAACAGGAATGAAAGTGATCACAGTGTAAGTGGACAGGCTGGAAAATGCTGCTGTTTAATTACCGTCCAGTGTTTTCTAATCTGTATGAAAACTTCCTGTTCTTCATTTGTACTGACTCACGCAACTCTATGGTTTAAATTATATCCACACTATCTATAAGCACCTTTGGGTTTCTGTGTCAGTGTTTTAAGTTCAAAACTGAAAACTGGAAATCCTGTGGATATTTTAAGTCACAGGAAGTCAGAAGGCCAAGGAATGGTGTCAGGATACACAGTGGGACCGCCCCTAGTCAGCAGTAAAAATCTCATCAAAGAGACACCAAATGAACACAGAAGACAGGAAGTACAACTGAGGCCTTTTGGTTCTTTGGTGCATTATTTTAG